CACCTAATTTTTACTTCTTCACTTTGCTGAAAGGCATGACATGACAAGGACGCAAATAGTAATGAGTACTTTCCAAAGTTAGGTGATACAACTTTACAGAACATTATTGATACCATTTATAGACCATGAATAAGGTTAGATTTCTACACATAAACGATACTAACAGACAACAGCATCTGAAACCAGAGAGACAGAAGAATCCACTATCGTACCAGTATGGAGCAGCTTCTTTAAGACTGGGAGTTTCCTACAACAAAAGGTTATAAGGTGATGCAAAACGTAGTCCTGTAATGCTTACATTGACAACAAAAGGTGCAGTGTCGAGCATGGATTGAGGAACCTCACCGCTCCATACATGTACGATAGTGGATACTTGTGTATCCAGAGGCGGTTATATGTTAGTATCGTTTGGGCTCTGTGCAGATATCTCACTGATGGTCTGTAGACGGTACCAATAATGTTCTGTACGTTTTTATGTTATTTAACAAGAAAAACAAAAAGGAAGAAATTAGAACATACTTACATTTAAAACTCTTCTGTCCACAATGCTTTCATACAAGAAAACCTTCTGGGTCCTGTGTTTCCTGCATTCTAAAAATAAAAAACACAATTTTAATAATTAGGTAATAAGTCTTCCAAACAATCATTTAAAAAAATGTATTTAGTATAGTGCACATCGAACCTCTTCGACTTTTTTTGGAAGGTGGAGGCTGGGAGGAGAGGGGGCATGGAGGAGGTGGATGAGAAGAGAAGGGGGAGGGAGGAGGCTCTGGCTCTGGCGCTGGCTCTGGCTCTGGCTCTGGCTCTGGCTCTGGCTCTGGCTCTGGCTCTGGCTCTGGCTCTGGCTCTGGCTCTGGCTCTGGCTCTGGCTCTGGCTCTGGCTCTGGCTCTGGCTCTGGCTCTGGCTCTGGCTCTGGCTCTGGCTCTGGCTCTGGCTCTGGCTCTGGCTCTGGCTCCTGGCTCTGGCTCTGGCTCTGGCTCTGGCTCTGGCTCTGGCTCTGGCTCTGGCTCTGGCTCTGGCTCTGGCTCTGGCTCTGGCTCTGGCTCTGGCTCTGGCTCTGGCTCTGGCTCTGGCTCTGGCTCTGGCTCTGGGGGGGCTGGTGGAATGTTTTCCACCGGGGTTACAGGACGAGCAGAAGTTGTCCCAGCTTGTTGTGCAGCAAACCACACTGCAAATGTTGAAAATAATACAAGGGAACATTTACAGAATTAATTTGAAGGAAGACTTATTTTTGGCCTTACTTGCAAGAAATTAATAACATTCATTGAATTTCCCTCGTATTATAATTCAATCAGGTAGTTCTTAAGTGAATGAAATTCAGGTAGTGTGAAAATAATGTTTTTAAGCTGCTGACAGTAGACATATTGCTATGTTTCTCATATCAGTGTTAACGCAACAACTTATCGTATTTATTTAAGACCATGATCATAATGAAAATGTACCAGCTTCTCTCATTAAACTAGAAATAATTTAAAACGTGCAGATAAATACATTACATCTGTAATGAAACATGGTGATAAGACTTTTTACAGGTTGTTGCCGGGTATATTTTTACAGAGAACCACGTGGGTCTCACAGAAGAAAAAATAGGCATGACTTGTGCTGCTCATGTGGAAACTGTGGCTGCTCTGACATGTTTCTATGGATGCCCAGATAAAAAGCATAAGCCATAATGCTAAGCACACGTGCAGCTTAGGCATCATGTGTGTCCTGGACATTAGGGTGCTAGGTAGGATTGTCATGATATCTAATTTCATTGAATGTCTGTTGCCTCAACTCGTCTCTCGAGGTGTCTCCTCCTCTTCTCCCATCTCATGTGAGAGGGATTAAGACATGAAGAGAATAGGCAAGAGTTACAAACTGGGAAATCAGAGCAGCCTCATATCTTTATGATGCCTGCAGAGATGGGTTTGTATTACGGGCACGTGCATAGCATAGCTTGTTAACTACGGGTGAGTAATGTCGACATTTGCCTTCAATTTAACCCTTTAAATATTTTTGTATAACACATTTCAAAATAACGTATGTGGTCCAAAGTGCTGTACTGGCTTAAAACACAATACAAAATAAAGAAATATGCATACAGGCAGTCATTTCCTGGATAAATCCATCTTCTCTCAGTCCATGCATGCGCTGTCGTAGCGCACTCACACACTCCAGTGCCCCCTTCGCACTTGCCTTCTCACTTTGGAGAGCTCTGGCTATGGTCTCGCATGGTCCAAAAAGAGCCTCACAGCACAAAAGGCCAAAGTATGTTTTGTCTTGTGTGGCTTGTTTGTATAGACCAGATACTTTTGCCCGAGTATCTCCCCTGACTGTCTTGTCTTGCTTAAGCATCTTCAGTGTCTGCAAAAGGGCTGTATATGAGTAGACAACCCGTGAAATCGCCCTTGTGCCTACAGCCCACCGAGTCGGGCATAATGACAGCAAGTTGCAACCCGCCTCATCATCACCAAACATGGACTGGAACAGCGTCTTGCGCTTTGATGACTCCCCGACCACCACTGCGCCGAGACGCTTCTAGGACGCTTATGAGCCGCTCAGAAGCGTCCCAGAAGCGTCTCGGCGCTGGGCTCCGCTCAAAATAGGATTCAAGTCTATTTTCGACGCGACGTGAGGCGTTGCATAGCGCCGGGCAGGAAGTGGACCGGTCAGAGCATCCAGTCAATCCCCAAAATAAACTAATTTTGCAGACCCTATCCCTCCGTAGTCTTTCAAGTAGGAGGAGAAATGCCAGCGTTCTCCTCCGGTTTACAGGCACTGTGTAAATTATAGAAAGATTATGATGATGAATGCATTTTTTTACCACAAAAATACAGCAGCAACACATCTTTGATTCATGTTGTTTATAACTGGAATATTACAATTATCATTAACTTTGTCTGTACAAAGTAGCCTGTCCAGGAAATATGCCCAAATCAACAAAAACTGCGAGCCGGCACGGAGGAGGCCGGACCAAAACCGTGGCGCAGCCGTGACGCGACGCAGACGGACCCGGTGGAATCGAGGGATTACCCCTAGATTCCACCGGGTCCGTCTGCGTCGCGTCACGGCTGCGCCACGGTTTTGGTCCGGCCTCCTCCGGCGTCATAGAGTGGCGAAGTCCCTCCCCTTCCGGTGGACCTCCATGGGACCTTATTTCGGAAAAATTATGTATTGAAGTCAATGGAGAGAGAAAGATTATCTTTCGATCCCGTTTGAATTGTGCCACGAATTACACATATGATGTTTGTCAATTTAAAAGATAATTTTGCAAGTCAAAAAAAAGAAAATGTGTCGTAAAACTGTGAAGTAACACATTTGTTTGTGTGAAACGCTCAATGAACTACATCTCTGGTCAACAACACACGTCACCAAGATGGCCGTCACTACTGTCTTGTCAACAAAACGATTGACTACCCTCACTATCACCACAATGAAACACGTCCTGAAGAATGTCATGCAAAGCTGCCTGCCTGCCTTCCTTTGATTCTCTCTGAACTGCCTGGTCGTTTTAATGTTTAATGTCAACCATTTGTGCAGATAGCATGAAGTAGAGAAGATCGCTAGCGTTAGCGTTAGCATTTCTCCCCCGGGCTTAAATGGTGTATTATAGAATGATCACACCGGTGACAGTACTCTTCAAAGGGTTCACGAAATATGACTACTACTCTTACTGTTTAACATTTTGGGTTACTTAATGTTACTTCATGTTAAGTCTAATACAAATGACAAGGCTGTAATGCTAACTAACGTGCTAGCTACTAGCTAGCTTGATCCACACACTCCTCTTTCATCAGACGGGAAGCGAAAGAACGAGCAAGACCCATTGCTGGTATAATAACAACCTGGTACTAAGCACACAGGCATCTTGTGAAAGTTATCTTATCTTAGCCAGCGCCATATAGATAGATTCTATCTATATGGCGCTGATCGTATATATACGGTATTATACGTATATCGTAGTGTCTCAATTGTGACATCACTTACGCGACTCTGGGATTTGTAGTCTTTCTAGTTGCGTATTTTTCATAGTCTTATATTTCAACAGTTTTACGACAAACTGTGACTTTTTTGACATGGAAATGATTTTTTAAGATTGACAAACATCATATGTGTAATTCATGGCACAATTCAAACGGGATCGAAAGATAAGTTTTCTCTCTCCATTGACTTCAATACATTATTTTTCCGAAATAAGGTCCCATGGGGCGGAAGTAGATGGGCGTGACTTCGCCACTCTATACCCTACCAGGCGCGTTTCAGAAGCATTTCAGAAGCGGAGCGTCTTGCCTGCCGGCTCGCAGTTTTTGTTGATTTGGGCATATTTCCTGGACAGGCTACTTTGTACAGACAAAGTTAATAATAACTGTAATATTCCAGTTATAAACGACATGAATCAAAGATGTGTTGCTGTATTTTAGTGGTAAATAATTATTCTATATATATAATTTACACAGTGCCTGTAAACCGGAGGACAACGCTGGCATTTCTCCTCCTACTTGAAAGACTATGGAGGGATAGGGTCTGCAAAATTAGTTTGTGTGTGTGTATATAGAATGGGGAGGCTGTGGCGCAGTGGTCTAGTGCGTTGGTGTTCGGCTCAGAGGAGCACAGGTTCAAACCCCACTGCACTCAGCATGTCGTTGTGTCCCTGGGCAAGACACTTCACCCCAAATTGCTCCTGTGGGGATTGTCCACAGTATATTGAGTATGTATGCTTTGGATAAAAGCGTCTAACAGGTAACATGTAATGTAATGGAGGAGACATTTGATTGGCTATATAGAACAAAGTACGAATCGGGTCACCGTCAGGGGAGTCTCAAAAAACCCACACATGAATGCACAGCGATCCATGCACAGAAAGCGGGTTGTGTTTGCAGGTGCAGCGGTTTTAAACGGAAAACAAATATGTGTGGATCAAAAATACATATGTAAAACTTTTTTCTGTGTAAAACTTTTATTTACATGTAGCCTATATGAGGAAATGGAAAACATGCGACACAACTCTCTGAACAACACAACCCTCTGATGCGTGTGTTGATAGCTTGGCACGCCACTTCCCTGGAACCGTTGCTGCTTCCAGTGTTTCCTCCTGAAGTCTTTGATCACTACCCAGTCACCGGGCTCGAAGTGGTGTTGTGGCGCATCAGCTGGCGTCTGCAGTACGGCTTTCCCCTGAGAGTGGATAGCTGAGAGGGAGACTGAAAGACTTATACAGTAGTTCAACAAAAGGTAACTTAAATTGTCTCAACTTTCAGAAACTAAAATTACATTAACAGAATAATATTCTTTATATCTGTGCCAGTTCGTCTTGTGCCTTGGGCCATCAAGAGAGCCAGCTTTTCACGCCAACAAATATTTGTAGCTGCTTTCACAATGATGACATGCTATTCTCTTTTATTAACCAGTAAAATAGATCTTTACAGGATCAGAATATTTTGAATATTATTAATCTTTATGGCTTTGTAAGATTATATGTCTCTATTTAACACAATGGACATGATTATCACATTTGTTTCAGTCTTACATTTTTATTGTCACTGTGCTTTTTAATATTTTCATATCAATAAAGTTAGTATTTCCTGATCATCTTCTTCTTTTTTTTTATATGTAAAATGACCTGTGACTTCCTCAAATGATGTGTGACTTCCTCAAATGATGTGTGACTTCCTCAAAAATATAAAGCATTTAGAAATTCAAACCAGCAACCACACTTTCCCCAGTCACATACTTCAGGATACTTGCTGCAGAGCTGACCTTCTAGGAAAGAGTTGGCATTCCCATGAGCAATGGAGAAAATCTATGACAATGCTGTTGATGTCAAAACCCTAAGCTCAAGCTCATCAACAATACAAGAAGGTAAGAGTGTCAGACAGAGTGCACTGTGGATTTTGGATTTACTGTACTTTTTTTTACTCCCTGGTCTTCTCTGGGTTCAGGTCCCAGGAGACTTCTCAGAGCGTCTGTTCTCGGTCTGGGGCTGCTGAGTGTTTTCCTGCTGGCTGGACTCATCGGCCTCGCTGTCCACTGTGAGTCTTTCTTTTAATATGTTTAATAATTTCATTTTGAACGTGTGATTTTAAGGAGCAATATTCTGCTCTGAAAGATGCACATTTGACCAAAACATCCATAGTTTTTCTACTTTTCTCCTAGGGCCAAATTAGGAAAACATTAATTTTGGTTTGTGTCAGTATGATTGCATCAGGTAATTTAAGAAACATCTATTTTCATTTCAGATCATAACTCAGTAGGTGTTAGAGATCAGCGGATCAACCAGCTGGTGGACCGACTTCAGAGTTTGATGGGTAAGGGTCAGTGCTTCATGTGGGGATTTGCATAGGGCTCGGTGTGTGTGTGTAAGATATCAATTATCATAATATGTTTTTACAAAATACCTCGATATTGATATTCTAAGGCTGACTATTGATCCTTTCATAAAATAGTTACACAATGACACTTTTCATTAATGATAATCAAGAATTTGTTTTTAATGACTTTGTGTTGAGTGATTTAATTTATAGTTTCTTTTATTTTTCTTCACCCACCATATTTATATTTCTCTGTAAACTATGCTTATATAATTTAGATATTTGCAGCATAATAATAATAATAATAATAATAATAATAATAATAATAATAATAATAATAATAATAATAATAATAAAGGATAACAAGGTTTCAAACCAATTTAGAACTGTTGCCGAAAGTCAGACCCAGTTTTCCAGTCGGTCTAGTTACTAACACCGAGATGTTGCCACTGTCTGTGTTTAAGTGGATGTCATTGAAGACTTTAACAAGATCAGTCTCAGTGCTGTGGTGCCTGACTAGATCACATCCAAACAGTTATTTAAATCCCAAAAAAGAGAAGCAGTTGTTCTGCAATGAAATGTGTGATCTCTTTTGATCCCTCTAAAAATGCTTAATAAATATGTTTTTTCATTATTATTACAAAAGTGACATATAATGCACTCAAGAGTTCCATATTTCAGCAGTTAAAGCAGTAAATCAACAAGATCTTAAAACTTTTACAGCAAAAACATGTCCTGAAGGATGGAGGATGTTCGGTTGTTCCTGTTATAACCTCTCTACTGAGAAAGCTTCTTGGGAACAAAGCAGAGACAACTGCAGAGCCAGAGGAGCACATCTGGTGACCGTAGACAGTAATAAAAAACAGGTAATGTGTGCTGCTTTAACACTTGTGATTGTATAACTCCTGCTTTTGTCAATCAATAATGTTTTTATTGTACATATACTAGCAAATGCGTCTATCAGCTATAATGATTACATCACAACAATGGTGTTGATTACATATTTCTGAGCTAGTAAAAAGGGAAAAGTTATCTGAATGTTGATGTCCATCCCAGTAAACTGCATTTTTAATATGTGAACAGGAATTCATCACTCGCATGATCAAGGAAGACACTTGGATTGGTTTGAGTGACAGAGAAGAGGAGGGGACCTGGACATGGGTGGATGGATCTCCACTGAATCTGACGTAAGGCTTTACTTTGGTTTTAAATACAGACGCTGGTTTATGTTGTGACCTTTCTAAATGTTTCACATGTTTCTGTAATGGGAGTTAACACAACACACAGGATGCATTTAAACGTAGGGTGTCTGCCCCTTTCACCAGAAGATTCATTTGGGTATTAAGAAAAGAACATGGCTGTATTACTTATAGTTATTTGTATTTGATGTCCAATCTTTTAGTTCATCTTGTTTTCCTGTAATACCTGTTAGGCTTTGGGAAGAAGCACAGCCGGATAATGGAGAAGGGGATCGAAAGATTGGCGAAGAGGACTGTGTAAACATCAATCCCTCCACCTGGTGGAAAGACCGGTCCTGTAGGAACCATCTGCCTTGGATCTGTGAGAAAGAAGCTTAACATTGGTGACTGTTTGGATACTAAACATGCAATCATGCTTTTACAATTGAGTTTAAATCGAGTTATTTAAAACTATACAAAATGCCTGATTTCATGAATAAGAATTACTTTGCTCGAATTGATAAATCACATTTATTTAGTGTTTTTGTTTAGGATTAATATCAGTAATAAATAAATAGTAATTTAATTAGTTTTTGCCAACTTTTGTTTGCCTCAATTAAATTAGTATTTGTATTAATCCTTTTACATATCTTATGTAACGTTCTTATGAACTGGAAAGTCAGAAAGCCCAACTGCTTCAATTGAAATAGATGGCTGGAGGACTTCCTAAACATCTTCAGTATGGACGAAGCTGCTTTCTCCCTGTTATATTTGGTTAAGCCAGACAACAGGCATTTGGATAAGATAAGGGCTTTCCTGGACTCAAACCATCTCGGCTGCCAATAATAAATATAATAATTATAATAATATTAATTAATAAATAAAGAGAAATAAGCTATGAAGAAACAGAAAAATAATGGTAATAATAATGAAAGAAGTGAAATTAAATGGGAAATGTATTTATTTGACTATTTATCTATTTATTTATTTATGATAAATGTTTTGTTTTATAATAATAATGAGGAAACAATGAAGTATATCTATATTATTAAGCAAATCATGTATAAATACAACGCCATATGCATACATAACATGTAACTGACACTGTAATCCCCCTACCCCCCCACCCTTCATGTTATTGTCCTGTTCTGTTTGAGCCGTGTCCTTGTCCGTATGTTTTTGTCTTTGAAAATGTCTAATAAAATGTAAATGTTAAATCCTTTTACCCATCAACATAAAAACAGCTTATTAAAAACATCTGCTGATAAGCCCACAGTTCCTGAAAGTTATAATATTGAAGGTGACTTAATGAGCAGAATATGATAAAAATAAAAACTGTCAAACATTATTGAATAATTCAGACATATACAACAATACTCTAGTCTCAGCATTGGTCTAACTTGTTCAAATGTGTAAAATAGCCTGTGTGTTATACAGTATGTTTCCTAACAATGACCTCTTGTGGCCATGTGAGTACAAATCTATTGCAGGTATTTAACATTCATAGGTACCAGCCACTTTGTACATACTGTAAAAACTAGTGCTGTCAATTAATACAAACATGTATGTATGTTTATCACAATAATAATCTGGGACTTTAACTGCAGGATTTGCTCATGTTTCATTTAAAAAGTAAACTGCCTTTTATTTGAAGTTAATTACAGACCTTTAGTAAATGGGCAAATTAGATATAGCTAGATCAGGAAATGGCAACTTTCTTTGAGCATGCATACAAAGATAAAAACCGTAAAAAGATATTGTGGGTGTCTTACATGTTCTCTGACAAGATAAAGCTCTTCCACTTCAACAAACTGCTGTTATCAGATAAAAAGCAGCTTTACCACTTCACCTTTTTTTCTCAAAGTGAACAACTCCTCCCTGAAAGTTGTCTTTGAAATTATGTGTACTTTTTATATTTATGATCAGCGGCAGAGTACTTCAGAGGAAAGGCATTTGTGTTTATCAGCATTTAAAATTAATATCCCTGCTTTCACAACAATGTCATGCTATTCTCTTTGTATTAACCAGTAAAACAGATCTATACAGGATCAATACATTTAGAATATTATTCATCTGTATGGCTTTGTAAGATGATATGTCTCTATTTAACACAATGGACTTGATTATCTCTTTATTGTCAATGTGCTTTGGCAATAGTATGTTTTTAATATGGGCATGTCAATAAAGCTTATTTGAATTTGTCTTGACTCTCAACTCTTGTTCTGTTGTCACATGTGTTATCATTATTTTCAGTTTACCCGTGCAGGGTTAAGTATGGATACACTGTTGGGAAATACAAGAAAGGTGATACAAATTATGTACACAGGTTTAGAAGCTCTACAAGGTGCATTTTTGAGAAGTGATTGGAGAACTATGTGTAAAGGAGAGTTGTTACAACACAGAAAACACCAGAATTGAAACTATGAACATTAATATAATTTCACTATTAGTTAAAGGTGGGGTAGGTAAGTTTGAGAAACCGGCTCGAGATACACTTTTTGTTATATTCCATGGAATGCTCTTAACATCCCGATAGCAATGAATATCTTAAGTGCTTTGACAAAAAATCCATAAAAAAATGTCATCTGTGGAAGGCGTAGTACTGTAAAAAGCACGACCAATCATTTTAGCCGGCCCGGCTAAAATAACTGGATGGCCTACCTGCCTGTCAGCCTTCCATCTGTGCACAAACTTATCTCGTGCCCTCATTGGTCATGTGCGCGTTCGTGTGTGTTGGAGGAGGGGCTCTGTAAGGAAGTGGCAGATTTGTTCAGGCTGTGTATTTTCAAATTCTAGCGCACTCGAGCTGGTTTCTCCAAAATGACCTACCCCACCTTTAATGGCCTAAACAACCCAATTAAAAAAGTGCTTATACAAATGAAACATCAAGGTGGAGATATTGTATTTATGCAAGAAACACATCTGTCAAAAGTACTGTGTGTGTGTGTGTGTGTGTGTGTGTGTGTGTGTATGTGTATGTGTATGTGTATGTGTGTGTGTGTGTGTGTGTGTGTGTGTGTGTGTGTGTGTGTAGGTGTGTAGGTGTGTGTGTGTGTGTGTGTGTGTGTGTGTGTGTGTGTGTGTGTGTGTGTGTGTGTGTGTGTGTGTGTGTGTGTGTGTGTGTGTGTCTCTTTTATGTTTCTGCTCCAGGTTGCAACATTGTTGATAGAGTCAAGCACCGACACCTGTCTGCTCTCAAATTCCCGCATTATGTCTTGCGGGAACCAATGAAGTCCAGGGCAAATAATTGCAAGTCTCTTCAGTGGCATGTCACAAAACGAGATGCATTGTGGGACATGTAGTTTATGGGCAACCTGCTTCTGTAAAGTGGCAGTAACCGTATAATAAACGTATTATATTCTTTGCAAGCTCTTGCGGGGCCACATAAAATGAAGTCACGGGCCGGATTTGGCCCCCGGGCCTTGAGTTTGAGACCCCTGCATTAACCCATTGAGTTACAGGATACAGAGCCCTTTAACAGTAAATACAGTGTTTTCATAATTACATTAGTTCAAGGGGGGCAAAGAAGGAAGAAAAAAAAAAAGCACAGAGATAAACACAAAGAAAGCAAATAATAATAATGATAATGGAATAGAAAGAGAACAATTATGAATCAATAATATATGAATATATATTAAATGCTCACTGCTCACTGCTCAATCCAACCTTATTCTTTATCAAGTGGATCTTGTAAGGAGTCATAAAAGTCCAGAAAGGGTTTCCATGTTCTAATAAAGGTGTTAGAGGAGCCCCTGAGTAAGAACTTAATTTTCTCTAACTGTAAGAAGTACATAACATATTTGACCCACTGAGAAAAGGATGGAGGGGAATGTTGCTTCCATTTTAGAAGAATCAAACGTCTCGCAAGAAGTGTAGAAAAGGCTATAACTACATGGGCACTGTTTGGTAGGGTCTGGGTGATTTTTGGAGACTAGCTGTCACTCTATCCAGAGTGGCAACCTGTTTTCATATCGACTTTCTTCTTCTTCCTCCAGGCCTGAGCGTTGGGAGGAGGTGAAGAGGGCGGTGGACTGGGTCTGCTGGGCGGACCGGCAGTACCCGTGTGTCTACAGCCGGCTGGAGTTTGGATTCAGCTGGGAGTCCTCCACCCGCCAGCTGCTGGGCTTCGAAGGCCTCCCTCCCTTCTCCGCTCTCTGGGGACTGAACCTGCAGAAGACCGTGCCCCAGGTTCTGGTCCACTGAGCAGGATAGTGAGAGGGAGGTTCATACCCCTTTGCCTTTTTATGGGGATTACATCATCTATTCGATGTATTTGTAGCCCTTTTATTGTCAGTGTGTTTACATGTTCTTAAATAGGTAGATACAATTGGCTTACTGCATACCTGATTTATTAAACTTAAACTGCTTTGGGTCTACATATCGCCTTTTCTGCACGTCAGCATCTTTTTTCAAATGTATTCCAATAAGGCGATAGCATATACTGTTTTACACCGTGGTCTTCAGAAAAAGAGTTGCACCCCTCGTCTTTCTTCTGACCGTTCCACCTTTTTGGTCAAGTTGAAAATATTTAAACTTTCCAGAAAAACGCTGTTGACGTCACTGAAGGAAATGACTGTCTCACTGTCAGACAGTAACCATCATAACAAAGACCAAAGAGCCTGTTTGTTGGAGCAGATCTGCCAGTGAGTGTGTGGCTTTTATCGTACCATATACATATCATCCTCCTCACTCTAAGGCTGTCAGACTAAAGCTGTGACGCTCAATCACACAAAATTTGAGAACAAGCATCCCCCTGTTTGTTCTCATAGACACAATGTCAAACAAATACATAGCACAAATCGATAATAAAATCCAAGGGGTTAGGCTAGTTTGTAATACAACAATGGTGATACAGTGTCAAGACATTGCTGTCATAGGAACAACAAAACAACCCTTGGAGCGTTATGTGGACACGCCCTTATTCGGGGAAAGAGGATTTAAAGGCTAGATTACATTTCATGGCCATGTACACTGATACTTATCATCTTGTTCACATGCATGCAAGTCCACAACAATGCCTTCAGACAGAGATAGCATCATTGTGACCAGTGATAAAAGGGAAGGTCACGATGAGTAGCAGTCTATTTGCATGTTTGTAATCATCCCATCAAAAATTAGTCAAAACCAAAACTAATTCCGCAGCTACTACTTCCTCTAAATATTTTACTGGTAAATGTAGTCACAGCTGTCTTCCCACAGTTGAACACACAGTCACATGTTATTATAAAATAAGGAAGCAGTGCCTTTGTGCCCAAAAAGGGTCAGTTTCTTGGGAACATCTTGGACTGACCTGCTGAAGGTGTGTGTTGCTTCTCTGAGTAACCTTGTACATGTGAATCTTTTTTTGTCTTGTGTTTCATTTATAACTGCCTTTTAAGCACCTTTGATTATTTTAGTGTAGGATATAGGATCTTCTTTCACAGTATATGCAGTTATATATCATGGTAGCAGTATAAATCAGGGTAGAGTATAGTATTGTTCTGTAAATTCAATAAGAAGTGGATTAAAACAACCTGTCTTTGGATTGTTTTCCTCTTTTATTTGGAACTACGATATTAACAAAATCAACAAAATTATTATAAAAATATGGTGGGTGTATTACATGTTCTCGGACAAGATAAAGCTCTTGCACTCAACAACTTGCTGTTATCAGATAAAAAGCAGCTTTACCACTTCCCATTTTTTCTTAAAGGTCCCCGATCATGCAAAATGCACCTTTGATGTCTTTTATACACACATATGTGTCCCCGGTGTGTAAGGAGACTCACAAAGTGTCCGAAAATACAACCCTCTCTCTTTTCCTCCGTACCCAAATCTCTAAAAACGGGGGTACAACGGAGCTGATCCAGATGTGCTGCGGTCATGACGACATTACTAAAATCAGGGCTGGCTTTACACCCACGGCACTATCAGAAACGTCGCTATCAGAAACAATGCCCAACTATTTTGGAAGTAATATGGTCAGTGTTTACACTAGCAAGCATCGCTAACACTCAGAGCTAACGCTGTACTGGAGAGAATATGTGTAAAGAAGCAGGATATAAAAAGGTACTCACCACTATATGTGTTTATGTAATCATGAACAAAAATAAAGTCTTTCAAAAGGTTCCCCAGTTGTCTTCATTTGTTTTCTTGTGTTTATCAGCATTCATTTAAGATCCCTGCTTTCACAACAATGTCAGCTAATACTCTTTTAAACTTGTCAAAGAGAGCTTTACGGGTGTGTTTTAATTTAATTATGTTTTAATTTAATTATGGTCATATCAATAAAGCTTATTTGAGTTTGTCTTGACTCAGCGTTAGAAAAATATAGCATTTCCTTATATTTGTATTGTTTTTTTTAGATAGATAATTATCTGACACAGCAATGAAACTACTCTTAACACTTGAGAGTTGTGACTTCCTCAAAAAGACAAATTTTTTAGAAATTGAAACCAACCAACACAATTTCCTCAGTCACATACTTCAATACTTGACATTCCCATGAGCGATGGAGGAAATCTATGTCAACCTTGACGATGTCAAACCCCTAAGCTCAAGATCATCAACAATACAAGAAGGTAAGGGTCAGTCAGACAGAGTGAGCTGTGGATTTTGGATTTATTATACTCACTGGTTTTCTCTGTGTTCAGGTCCCAGGAGATTTCCCCCAGCGTCTGTTCTCGGTCTGGGGCTGCTGGTTGTTTTCCTGCTGGCTGGACTCATCGGCCTCGCTGTCCACCGTGAGTCTTATTTTTAATATATATATTATATTCGTTTCATAAGTCATTTTGAACGTGTGATTTTAAGGAGCAATATGTTGTGCACCGACAGAAATGCTAGAGAGATGCATGTTATTTACGTTTGCTTTCTCTCATTCCAGGCTTCCTGATTATTTTCACCTGTGTCTCCTGTGCTCATCAATGTCAGCCCCGCCCCTGATTGGTCCCACCTGTGTCTAGTTACCCTGTGCTTATATTCCCCTGTCTCCCAAGTGTTCTTTGTCAGTTCGTATTGTCTCTTGCTATGGTCAGGTCTATATTCTTTGTACTCTTGTAAAGTTTGATTCCTCACTACGTGAGCGCTTTCATTTTGTTCCTCTATTTTTGTCATCTCGGTTAGAGATTTGATAGTTACCTTTTTTGTTGTTCATTGCTGTATTTTGGAAAATAAAGTATCTTACTAATACTTTACCTCTGTCTCCCCGGTCGTGCAATTGGGT